TTTTCCCCAATGATAACAACACATTTTGAAATACAGTATGTTTTTAATAACCATAGGGTAAAGTATTATAATCTTCCATTAATTGTCTCTTATCATAGACAATTCTATATTGTTTTTCTAAAGGTACTGTCTTGACTTCATGTTGACGAGTCCTCTGTATTTTGTAAGGATTCGAGACTTGGGTTTCATCAATTTCTTTCTTGAGCATTTTTTCTAATGTATCTGGTGACACGATATTGGAAGCCCGATAATTAAGAGTCAATCCTTTGACTTTACACAAGGAATTTCCCTTGCCTGTGAGGTAAGCATAATTTTTGGGGCCTCCTGTCCGTATCGAAATAAAGGACCCGATTTCCTAAAGGTTGTAAAGTCTCGTAGAGGTGTAATCGGGCATGAGCGGTAGTGAAACAGGCCAGTACCACGTTTCCGAAGGGACACTCTTCTACAAATTCCTGTTTCTCTTGATAATTCACCGGCATCATGTCCGATTCTGGCTGCTCTTTATTTTCTAAGAGTTCTAGCCCTTTGATGTCAATAGTCGAATCTTGTAAGAGTTGCTGTAATTCCTCTTCTTCGGTCAAGTATCGAGTTTTAGGTAATAACAGGCGTTGAGCGAATTTTCCCCACAAGCAATTTAAAAAGAGTTTGGCTATCGTTCTCCGCACCGGATTTTTTTCTATACTTAACAGGCCCATTCTAATCCCTTCTCTTTCTATTACTTTACGAATGTAATCTAGTTTTTGTTCCTCCGTCTGACAATCAGGTGGGAATCCAGAAGCTTCCTGTTTGATCTTTAAGAAGGTATCGATGTAAGATCTGAATAAATCTTTACTGCTTTCTGGAAAATGCCAAACCTCGTAAATCCGCTCTAAAATATATCCCATGTCTAAGGCTTTATGTAATTCTGTAGTCACCCGAGTACCTGTAAGACTGCGTTCCTGGTCTGTGTGTTGACATCGATGTTTAGAAGTAGAGTCCTGTCGTTCCGCACAGGTTCGACATAATGGAAATAATAACTTGCCTCCCGTGCGATAAGGTAAAACGGGATGATAAAGGCCTCGGGGTGGTTAGACCCGACAGTGAATGAGACCGAAATAAGTTCTCAAGTCCTGGAATTGGTCTGTTATGATCTGAGGATGACCTAGGGGAAAAAGTCTGTGTTTTAATACGTAAGGGTATAAGGAACAGACGTCCACGTATCTCATGTCCCCCTCCTCACAATACAATCTTGTAGCATTGGTCCGGCCTCCGTACAGAGCTTCTCGGGGGTTCAAAGGATCTGGAATGTCCAGGTCTCGTACATAATTCTGTAATGCCACCTCTCTTTGTACTTGTTGATCGAAATCGTGTTCCGAGATACTATGTACGGAGTACCCCATTTCCTCTAAGACCGTATTCCTCCTTAAAGTTTCCTCGTGTAATTCCTGGTAAGTAAATTGTGTCAGGTGAGGATGAGTTTCGGTCTGTAAATTCGGATAGCAAGTAGGGCATCCGTGCCAATAGCATCCGTAAAATTCGTAGATGGTACGAGTAGCTTCCTGGTATCCATCTACAGTATAAGTTCCGATCTTGACTTCTCCTCCGTTTCTAGCATGTCGTATGTTTAATCCGTTCTGGTGACTCATCCAGGTTAGCCACTGACAGGCTTTGGCGGAATATTGACGCGCAGGCTGAAACCCCATGTTCGGAATGATGGCAATGGTATCTTCAGGCATGAATCCTCGACGGTAACCTAAATTGGCCGCACTGGCAAAAGTGATGGATTCCTGGAAGGGGTCTACATTGACCAAGGTCTTGAGAGTGGCTCGAAACTGAGCACAACATCGTCGTAAAATATCGACGTCTGAAATACAATAGTCTAAAAATTCCTTCTGGAAATTAAACACTTTTCCGGCTTGTTTTTCGTACCATTGGTAAAAAGCCTGTCGTCCACTTATAGACATGTCGTCCGGATTGTAAAAAGCCGCCGGTGAATAAGGGCCCACATAATTCTGGTTCTGTTCTGTATTAAAAAAGTGAGGGAAATACACTTTTTTCAGTTCGGTGAATCCGAAAGCAGAGGGCATTTTGGACAGAGCAAAAGGTAAAAAATTATAATAGTCGATGAATTTCAATCCGCAGATTTGCATGGATAAGATTTTACTGCCGTTCATGATGACTGTAGGCTTCATGCAGGCGGAATGTAACAGGTAATTTAAAATGAACTGTCCGTCATATCCTTTGAAATTGTGGGCAATGATGATAGCCTCGTCGTGTAATAAGGCGGAATTCTTATTTCCTGTGTCGGGTTGTAATAACCTGTCCATGAAGTGTTTTAAGGTATCTGGGCCTTTAAACACGTGTTGACGGGGTCCCATGTGTCGACAGTGAGGACAGGGATCTCGTATGGGTAAGTGTCCGCAATGTTGACGTACCCGGTGTGCCACACATAAATTAGGGACGTGGATGCCGTTTTCCTGTGTACATTCGAAATCGAAATAAATATAAAACTGTAATGTCTCTTTGCCTTTCTTTTTCTTTTTCTCAGGCTTCAGTTGAACGTAGCACTGATGATCCGTGTCTACAGTTTTCTTACAGATCTTACATTGTTTCCGTCCTCCGCAATGATGATGAGGGGGTAATTTTTTAGGCATCCATTTCTTACAATGCTCGCATCGTCCCATTAAACTGCATACCGTTGTGGCCGTATTCTTACTGTGAGGTTGTAAATGGTTTTCGTAGCAAGTTCTGCTCTGAAAAAATCCCTGGCATTGACTACATTGAATGTGGCTCCCGTCTGGAGGGCAGGGCGTGTCTGTTAAACAAAAGGAACATCGGTATAAACACTTGGTACGATGCTCTGTAATGTTCCTGTAGCCCACATCGCAATGATCACAATAGTATTGATTGCCCGTTACACCTGGCATAGATAAAATAGCATCGTAATGATGGTCGTCTAACAAAATGTTTAAACAAGTTCCATCTCCGCAGCCTTTGTACAGGGGCTCCAAACTGAGTTTAGAGGAGGTGGACTTGAACTGAAATATTTTCAGTCGATAGCGAGGGGCTAACACCTGTTGTAATTTTCCCCATTCTTCGGGTCCACAAGGCTGATGAATATCACAGCCGGCTTGTTCCATGAGAGCTATAGCTTCATTTTTCTGGTATAATGACTGAGAATCTCCTAACCTCATGTTCCATAATTTTTCCCATTCAACTAAACTCTCTGGATTTTCCGGTTTATGACTGTGTAACCGGGTGACTACAATGGCTCTAGCTAAACAAAATTTATCCCAGGGATTGTCGATCTCAACGATGGATCGTTTATTCTTTTTAAAACTCTCCTTATTGACCATCAGGTGTTTGGTATTATGTCCACCACTGCCTTCTGGATATTTGACATGAAACATGTCGAATTCCATAGACCCGTCTCCCAGTTTAAAATCTTTCTTAGATTGTTGCACGGCTTCTATTTTGTTTAAATGTTTACATTGCGTAAACTCGTACCAAATGTCGGAATCCAGAGAAGGGTGGTGAATGTTCAGGCGTACATAATCGTTGGGGTTACACTGCATTTGATATTTGACATTCTGTAGCATGTCTCTAAATAATCGCCGAACAAATCCTCTGTTTTCCTCCTCTGGAAATTCTTTAAAATTCACACTGTAGACATCTTCTTTAGCTTTAAATTTTCTGGAATGCTTAGCTTTATTGAGTCTCACTTGGTAATACTGGGAAATGGTCTTTGACTTCTGGGGTGGTGAATGAGGTGGTGACGAAGACGGAGAGGGTAGTTCTTCTTCTTCAGGTAGATTCATTAAAACTTGTAGGTGTTGAGCTCGGTTGGCTTTGGCTCTCTTTAATCTTTCCATTAATCTTGCATTTTTTTCCCTGAGAACTAATTCTCTGGTTCTCTGTCGAGAAATAATTCTTTCTAATCCTTTCTCCCGTTTTTTCCATCTCATAAGTTGTTGTGCATGTAACAATCGTTTCAAGGTACTATCAAAATTCATCTTGATAGATCTGAAAACAAAATGAGCTGAAAGTCGAAGAAAAGCTGTATTTATAGAGTGTATGACGTCACAATGCATAGGTAGCTCGCTGATCCAAGACTAAGTATTGAGACGTACACAGTACGTACAAAAGGGTATATAAAGCAGAGCTGGAAATTTTAGGATCAGTCTTAGTGGGCACTAGGTACTAGACAGACGTAGAAATATGGCAGAGGAAAATTCCATGAATTCACCTGCAACCTTACCAGAGACACAAGATAGTATTGAAGGAAATGAAAGAAGTTTGATATGTGATATCTTAGATCAAATGACCATGATAATGCAGGAAATTGATAATAAAATACGTATGTTTAGAGAAGTGGTGATGCATGAGCTTCGTGAGTTTAGAGAAGAATTGAGGAATGAGATTCGTAATCTAGGAATGGAGGCAGACCAGGGAAAAATCCCCATTACTGTGAACAACAAGAGGAAACTTCCTGCTACTACAACCCAGACGGAGAAGAAACAGCCCCTGAAACTCCAGAAGAAAAAGTAATTATGTACACATTTTTTTGGAATAAATCATCTTACACACTTTACTGTGTTATTGTTTTTTCCGTTTTCAGAAAAAAGAGAGAGAGAGGCTTGCTCTGAATGACACATGACGTCACAATGCATACCGAGCTGTGATTTGAATCGATGCCAAGTTTGTGTATTGCCTATGTATTGACTGACTCAGCACAAACGTAGATTAAACGTTCCCCCCTTTTGCTTGGGTTTTTCCAGGGTGTATACTAGATTGAATCGGCAAGGGAACAAAAAAAGTGCACTCAGTTGACCCAGCCATCCAGGATCTGGGGGGACAAAAAGTGCACTCAGTTGACCAAGCCATCAACGCTGCTTATACTACTTTTCTTTACAGCAAAGAAACTATTTTTTAAAATAAGTAAAGAAACTTTATTTGTTATGAATAACCAACTTTTATAAACCCAATAAACTAGTAATATATTATCAATGCATTCTTTTTAGAAAGAAGAATGCGAAGAAAAGGGAATATATCATACTATGAAGGAAATAATGGAAGAAGAAGACAAGAGCGGGAAACCCTGGTTCACAGAAGTAAATCTGGCAGCATTATTACTGAATCTTGATACAGCCAGTAAGTGTTAAAAGACATTTAATATTTTTATGGTTAATAAGTAACCTGTCCCCTAATATAATTCAGCTTGATTGTGAACTTTCAAAAAAAATTGCCATGTAAATATATACAGGTCATAGGTGCAATTTCAAATATTCACATCCACTAAATATTATTTCCTTTGTTTCTTACAAAAACCATGGTTGTTAATCAGTCAGTAAACGCCGCTGAGCAAGCCACCTGTATTGATTTCTTGAGTAGCGGCAGTTCCATCAATGAAACACACAATAATGTACATTTCAATAATACAATATTTAACATACATAATCATATTTTACATGATTATCTATACAAATGTCAATATAAACAATAAAATGTCTTTCATTGGTTGTTACTAGAGGAATTAACGTTGCATCTATCAAAAAAAAAAAAAAAAAAAAAAAAACATTACCGGCTTACGCGGGTTATGCATTTTTTCTGCAACAGCTGCAACATTAATCCCCGTTCTAACAACTAAAGGCATTTTATTGTTTAAATGTTCTGCTGCTCAGCATGAACATTTGGAAAATGTATTAACCGACAGAGCGCATGCTTTATTACACAAGTTAGAGCTAAGAGAGAGAGAGAGAGAGAGTATAAAAGGGGTGAATAAAACGAGACATAAAGGACAAAAAAAAAAAACAAAAAAAAAAAAAACAAAAACAACAACAAAAACAAAAACTGATCAAACGATTACCGTATAAGCTGAACAGAATACTAGTATAAAAGAAACAAGTGATTTCCCCCCTATAGCTATGTTTTTATTAAGACCTATGTATATGGACTTTTTTTTATACATCAAACCAAGAGCCTTGACTAACATTCTTTTAAAAAGAAAAACAAAATGTTCGATTTGCTTGAATAAGAAATTAAAAGAAGTTTACCGAAGCACGTATTTTATTGAATTTTTATGCTTCTACCATGACAACTCATAGATGGCAATTTGGCAATGTTTCATGATTTCATTTCTATTTTCTGGTAATAAAATTGCAATAATTATGGACGTGGAAAAGGTTGCCGGGTGGGTAGAAAATTTAAAATATTTGAAGTTCACACGAACGTAGAAATAAAGCGACTTTTACAGTTCTCGCGTTATTACAGGTTTCCTGACAACTAGGGGAACACTATTGTCAGTAGTACATATACTTGCTAAGAGACCAGAACTTCAGAAAACACTACAAAAAGAAGTGGACGATGTCATAGGAACCGATCGGGAACCTAGACTGTCTGACAGAGAGAATTGTCCTACGCTCGAGGCCGTTATCTTGGAAACTTTGCGATACATTTCTCACTTACCAGTCTTCCTTTTTCACTCAAGCTCCGATTCTTTGACAATTGGTGATTATACAATAGATAAAAAGACAGTGGTAAGAAGATTTTGTATGACGTGTTATGGGTTAATCTTATATCATTTTTTAAAAAAATATGAGTGAATTACTGTTACATTGATTTCGTAAAATAAATTGTGTATTTTACATTATCCACAGTATTAAAAATTTAATATACATGTAGTTACAAATACAAAGAAAATGCTGTAAAACACTGAAATATATGGACTTCAGAATTCGAATGGTAATGTATCTGATAAATTTTCAAGAACTCAAGATATCTTCATTGCGTAAAGATTGATGCAAAGATTTAGGTTTTGTAAACTTTAAGTTGTAAAAATTACTTTTTAATATAAACTGTTATAGCTTAATTTAAACTGCGAGGGTCATTCTAAAATACATACGTAGACAATGTCGCTATAAATCATGTTATTATTAAGAGTAACACGTTTTGATATGTAAAAACATTTATTTTGTCAATGCGTAAAGTTTCATTCCATTTGATGAAATGGAACTCATTTTTCTTTATTTTAAAATCATCATGTTTTGTCACCACTGAGCACTGTTCACAATATTGTAACGTCAAAAACATCGTTCTGAAAGTTTCTCAACCCCTTCTTCATTTCTAAAAGGATCTGTAGTGCATACCCATTCATCAAAATAGTCTCCATATTATTTGACACTTAAATTTGCTAACAATTATTCGAGGAGCATATACTTACCTGTAGTTTGTCAGTGTTCTCGGTGTTGTACGGCTCTTCGGATCAAGTTACTGTTATAATGATAAATTTATTATATACCCCTTTACAACTAGCAAAATATAATAAAAGGAAAGTTTATGGATCAATTACATAACTTTTCTACATTAAACAAACCATTTTGTTAGGGAACTTTTTGATGTTCGAGAATAAAAACGCCATTTATCTGTGTACTACGTCATCAGTTTCAGAGAGGGGTGATATGGATTCAGAAAACCACCGTGTGGTGATCCGGAACGTCGGATCACACCGTCACGTGATTGCATAAATTCAACAATAAAACTGAGTGACAAACAGATGGGTATATAATAAAGCATTGTATCGCTTCCTGCTGCCGCGTGACGTCCTACGACGTCATCTTTTTGCGCTTTTTTTCAGTGGGGACTATTTGTCTTCTGAAATTGATTTCATTTCAACTAGTCAATATATTACATCACAATTCAGTATGTGAAATGATGTAACAATACTATTATAGTATTAGCGCTATTATTTGAGATATGACTAAAGAAATTATACAGTATTTTGTTACTGAATTATTCAATTATAATGACCGTGCTCCGGCACCCCATTTTCGTTATCGTCAACGATATTTTTTTCTAAATATTTGTTTGATTCAAATTATTTTTATTGTTAAAATATGTCTACCAACTTTGATTATAATATTTCGTCAAATAAAAAATTATGACAGAAGTCTGAGTATTTTTGAATGACTCTCGTATACTTCTTACAGATTATTCCAAATGGATGGACAATACACCACAGTGAAAAATACTGGGAGGATCCTTTCACCTTTAGACACGAACGATTTCTAGACAGCGAAGGTCAATTACTGGCCGCTACTCATCCTATCAGGAAGAGGTACATGTATTTTCAGGAAGAAGCACAGAACTCTGGGAATATGATCATTAGTCTAAATCTGCCATCCGATCCCGATCAATTATTATATATTCACACGTATTGAGTAGAATGTTAAAATTGACTTTCTTTTGTTTGAACAGTTCTGAAAATATACTAGATGTTAAGCAATAGTACATTGTATTTATTGCCGTTGTTTGAGATTCGTAATTAACTACAAATCTACTCTGCAAAACATGTATAAACTGTACTCTGAAACTACAGTTCAGACTTTAAATATAGTCAGACTAGTGAGGTATGAGTTTATGAATGTTTTTCCCCATTATTCATTATTCTCAAATTGTATATGGCAGTACATTCGTAATAAATGCTTTCTGAAAGATAACAAAATGAGACGCATAATAACAGTATATGAACCTAGTTTCTAAATAACTTTGAATTTAAATTAAACCTTTCATTTTAAAGACAAGCTTGTATAAAATGTTCAATATTTCATCTCAAGGAAACAGTGCATGTTATATTTCACAATAAAATATTCTTCAAAATAAGTTCCTTAATTTAATATGAATACAGTTTACTCTAGACTTTGTTTTAATCCAGGTTGGTAGCATTTGGATTAGGCAAAAGAAGTTGTATCGGAGAAGTATTTGCAAAATCCCGTATCTTCCTTTTCTTATCTACTTTAATGCAAACAATAACGATAGCTGAACCTGGAGGAAAACCCTTAACAGACTTCGATCCAAGGGAGATGATTCCAGGAATTGTCTTACAAGCACAACCATTCGAAGTTCGATTTTTACTGCGAAATAATGAGTGACCTCGTAAATTTCATAGTGGGAAATATACGATAAATTGTAAAACATTATAAATACACGCTTTGAAAATATCAAAAGATTAACCATATAATTGTCTGATCTATACATGTACATACAGCAAACAGCATAGAAGCAATTACATGAATCGTGTTTTTGTTGTTTTTGTGTTGTGTGTTTTTATTTCTTTGTTAATATTATTAGACAAATTTAAGTATCTTTAAAAACAAGATTTTGTACTTTACCTACAATAAAAGCATGTTTTTTTTTTATGGTGTAGTGACTATTGTTTCATATTGCACTATCAGTACCCTTTGCGAAAACAGTTGATTCAAAATTGATAAATACTATAACACTATACCCTAAGAATTAAGTCTTAAGATCACTGATTTTTTTCTTCTGTGTCACTTCACCTTCCGGACGAAGTTTGTATTTATATATACCAAGTATTTTCAGTAGTCCGGACGTTTCATCAAGCGTCCGGATAAAAGAGGCGCGACTGTATGACTTGAGTACAATCTGATTTACAAGGTTCGAACATACTGATTTTCATTCACTTGCATGACTAGGATTTTCTTATGGACAAGGCAAGTTTGGAAGCTTGACAGTGTCGCCTATTGAAGTAATTATTTTTAAATTATTCTATGAGTGACGTTGCAGTGAATGAGACTGAAAGTTTAAAGTGTGTTTGATTTATTTGATACATTTTGTAGAGGTTGAAAAAAGAAATTATAACGAAATACAACATGCAAAAGTACTATTCGTCAAAGCATTTATTGCAAGTATATGAGTATGATTACAAAATTATTTTACTTCGTCTCACGTTTTAAGACAGATCAAATGATAATAATAACATAAACGTGGTGATGAGACAACCATGTTTAATTTCTAAATTGGTTTCAACAGGATTAAAACAAGGTTGTGAAAAATGGTACAATAATCTATCATGCTTTGTAGAACCTTGATGTACAGTACAAGCCGTACAAATATTAATAGTCGCCATCAACGTGGCGCAGTGGTTAGAGGGTTTGTTCTAGAATCGCTGAGGAAGGATTTGATCCTAACGTCGCGGGTTAGAATCCCACTGGAGACCAGTCCTTCGTACGAGACCGTATTAAATGAGGTTCCTTGTCGCAGTAGATAATGACACGAAGAAGATCTCTCACTACTCAAAGGCCATAGGTGCCGAGTATAGGTCAAAATTTGCAGCCCTCCACCGGCAAGCGCTGGCGTCTCAATATGAATGGAAAAATTCTCAAAGGGACATTTAACAAACAAACAAACAAATGTTAATAAATTAAGACTCATCTATATGTAATAGATTTATGAGATGCACTGAGTGTTTTTAAGGTACATGTACAGTGAAGTGACAACTATATTCACTTATATGTGACAATGTTCATGAAAACCGATAAGTCTCAGTTGACGAAAATGTAAGATTACTTCCGAGTCAATATAAGTTTATTACAAAATAAATTCTCATTTAAGGACAGATAATACAAACAAACTGTTATGAAAAATCTTGAAAATAACAACTGAAATCATGTTTATATAAGTAAAATGAATAAGTTTAACCGCATAGATTTTTATTTTTCATTCAAAAGTTTCACAATAAATGGATTTTAAGTGACAAAAAGTTGTATAGATTAATAAGGTTGGTTGCAGAAAGGTGGAATTTTAAGCATCGTAGAAACTTTACGTTTTCTTAATATTTTAGAAATTTATTATTCTATTCATTTACAACCAAAATAAGTCAAAAAATATATATCTATCCAGACATCCATTTTTTAATTTGTATCATCTGTCCTTAATTATATAATTTTCTCGTCAGAACTATTTATTTTTAGGTTCTTTAAAACGAAATATTTTCTGCTTATAATGAAATTCTTTTTGTAAAGAGGCCTTTTCGTTTAATGATGAAATAATATAACTTGCAAAAATTTTCAAGGTCTAGTCGTTATATATATAACGTGTAAATGTAGTTTATATAATATGCAGTAAAATTATCATTAAATAATTTGTATGTCAATATAAGGGTAACTTAATAATTGTACTCATGTGTACACATGTATGCCATTAGGTGGTAAAATATAAAGTGTGTCACTCCTGAGCAAAGCGTTAATATGATTATATGCATATGACCGAAAGATCACATAACATATTGGTGGCTTTAAGATTATAGGTATGTCACTTGATCAAATTGAATATAACATACATTAAGCATTGCCTGATATTTAAGAAAATGGTTACATTTTTAAACATTTATTGGGATATAAATATTGGTATGTCACGTGATCAAATTTACATTGTACAATAAAGGTCTTCGGGGATACCAACCCGTATTTGTTTTAAAAGGATACCTTATTTCCTATATTTTCTTAATGGCTGATTTATAACGAATATTTGTGTATTTAAGTTTTAAACCTATGAAATGTTTTATTTTTTCAAACCTCAACGATATAAATTGAATGAACGCTTCAATCACTTATGACGTCACTGTGGAATTAATTCGATCGTTTATGATTAACAATTAACTTCCGTGACAAAACTTTTCCTATACAATATAAATACGCAGTGTTACATACAGGAAAAAAATGCAAATGTAAATATTCTCCTTTGAATCAATATGCTCATGAAACTTTGATAGTCAGAATGTTTATGATCGCAGGTAATGAATTGAAACTTAAGGAAGAAAACAGAAGAAAGTGGGGTAATCGAGAACCGAAGAAACCAATGCGTTCTCTCTATCGACTTCGTTGTCATTTAGAGTAAAAGATAAGATTTTCTTTTTGTTAAATATCAAATAATTCTCTAATTCTGCATATACACATTGTACTGAATAATTAAAGTTTAAACAGTTGACCTATATATACCTCTGTGAAAACTTTGGTTTAAGGCCTATACACAAGAAAAAAATGTTTCTTTAATTCATAAGCCATTAATTATTTATTAATCCTGTTAATGGCGTTTCAGCTAATAACTATTTTACATTGAAAGTAAATAAAGAGAACAAATTTCTTTCCGATGGCATCACTAGCTAGGTAACATGTTTGAGAATTGTGATGTTACAAATACATATTGGTATTCCGCAATGCGAGTTTTAATTTTGTGTAAGGTCTTTTTTAAAAATAAAAACGGTGTTCTCGATGGTGAGCCAACAGGACCTGTGGAATGGTCATTACGAAGGGCATAAAGAATACTTAATGATTTTCCTCCAAAAATTTTTGGCATTGACCAAAAACACACAAGTTGTCCTAATTATTTAACAAAATTACAAGATTTTTGCGTAAGCACAAAAAGATAAAACTCTTTTCTATATTTGTCATAATTCGGTCAAGTGACAAAAATATTCATAAGACAACGAACAGTCAGTCACCTTTTTAGGGTCATTGAAAAGTGTGTCATTTGTAGGAAACATTTATAAAAACAACGAATTGGCAAAGCGAAAACAGCCGTCGTTTCAATCAGCGATCAGCAGTTTTTCCACATAGCTAATGCTAGCAAAAAAGGTAAGTAGATAAGTTTGATTTTTAGTAGTTCTTATCCAAAACTGGAACTACTTTCACATTGTATGTACCGATTAATAAAGTTCGAATAATTCTTCTCAAGTCATAGAGTCCCATTATATGCACAAAATTGTAGACCTCTACAATGTAAAATTAATTCGACCTGACAAGACTGTAGCTCTTCTGGTGTATATTTATGATATAGAAAGATCTATCTTAGTATAGTTTAGTTGTGTAGAAGCCTAAACAGACCAAAAGTTAGGAGGAGAAACGTTTTAAAAGAATTCAAATAAATTACTAATTTTCTTAACCATGGCAATACAATTTGTCAAAATCGAACATCTATACGCAAAATTATGTATGTTAGTGTAGTCTACCTTGCGAATTGATTCTGGGTCGGATTGGCACGTAATTCGACTTCAACAAAAATGACAGGCAAATTTTTGAATGGAAATCGAGGCCCAAGAGAGCTATTTATATCAGTTTTGGAGCATATATTGTTGCATATATCAAGTATTAATAATACATTCACCTTCGGAACACGTAGGTAGCAACATTTTAGATAACAACTTAATAAAAATACGGAGATATTCAGTAACCCTTGAATCTTTGCGCTATTATTATTCACGCTTTGAAAGTATTGAACTGTAGCTTTCTGGACGTCCATCTCATTTTCTAGACAGACCAGTGAGCTACAGAACTTTAGCTAAGAAAAAGGAACATTTTTAAGCTTTTCAGTGCAACATTATTTTTTATTCTAGATTATGAGCTAGGACAAGGTCTGGACTCGCGTAAAACAATTTTTATGGAAAAGGCTGATATTTGCATTATGCTGGAGTACCTTCTTTTTGTTTTAATCTTAATTTTGTGTGGAGTCATCGTCATCAGAAGCTCTATTAAGAATACTGATGGACAGCCGCCAGGACCAAATGGATGGCCTTTAGTAGGAATAGTGTTTGACGTTGAGATTCCAAAATTACATTTAAAACTATATGAATGGACACAAAAGTATGGTGATGTTTTCCAATTTAAAATATTAAACAAGAATTTTCTCTGTATAAATTCAGTAGAAGTACTGAGAGAAACGTTTCTCAAAGAACCAAATGCAACCATAACTGCTGATCGAACACCAACATTTGTTGGAAAATACATTCTTCATGACTATGGCGATATAGGGTCCTCGTCACCCAACGTGCGGTGGACAAAACGTAGGAAACTTTCTTATCAGCTATTTAATGCATATGGAAAAGGTCTGGGGTGTTTAGAAAGTATCATATTGAAGAATCTACAAACCTTCAAGGAAAGGATAAGGAACATTGATGAGGAGAACGTAGATCCAGTAGATATGGTCGATGAGTTTATTTTCAATTCAATTGAAGTGCTAGTAAGTTGTTGAAAATTAAACATTTGAAGAATTCAATGATATAATTATTTTTTAAGTATTTAATGATTTTCTTCTCTCTTTTACAGAATAATTATTTTTAATATCTCTAATTATGCATAATCATTTCTTAAAGGAAATGAAAAGCACATTATTTAACAAGTGTATCGAAAAAAAACTTATCAAAATACCTCGTTTTCTTTATTTAATAGTTAATTGGACGCAGTTTTGGTAAGGAGGGTCACTTGCAGCAACTTTTAAAGAAACAAAATAACCTAGCAAATCAACTCGCCATTCCAGGGATCGATTCATTGTATGGAATATTTCCTTTTCTGCGATTTCTGCCTCTCCCAATGTCTCTTGCAATTCGAGAACTTCAGAGGACACAACAATGTATTTTGGATCTGTTAGAAAAACTATCGGTACAGTCCATTTTACTTGAAGCACGGTAGCTTGATAATGATGTTTTTATTAGATGTAGATATGTAAATCTGCATGGCAAGTAAGATTTGTGCCAAGTATTCAATTGATATACAACAATTTATTTTGACAACAGTAATCATTAAACATTTAATTTATTATTTTTTGGTCCTAATAGAAAGAAGAATGCAAAGAAAAGGGAATGTACCACACTATGAAAGAGGTCATGAAAGAAGAAGACGAGAATGGGGAGAGATGGTTTACGAAAGAGAACTTGGAGGCATTGATTTTGAACCTTGTTGCTGCCAGTATGTAATGAATACATTTTTCTTTTATAAAAACATGGACAAGATATACAGTAAAAAAAAAAAAAAAGAAAAAGATATTCTGGTCTCCAACTGTTACGTAGAAAAATACAAGATTATCATCAGTGTAAAAATATTTTATTTATTTATTCCATTATTTTGTGAAAAAAATGTTTAGTTCAAACCATGTTTGGATAAGGGAAAATATACAAAATGTTTATTAACCTATTTCATCACTACATTTCTCTACACTAAATAACTGTTTTCTTGATAATCTCAAATGCAGGTAAATATTGCTTAATAACATATATTCTTTTATTCATTAAGGAAAATCATCTACAATTAATTTTATTCCTTATTTCTATTTAAGGTTATCTTACTACAAGAGGTACACTTCTGTCAATGCTACATATTCTAGCTAAAAGACCCGACCTACAGCAAGCTCTCCAAAACGAAGTAGACATTGTGATCGGGTTTGACCGGGAGCCAAGGCTCGCTGACAGAGAAAAATGTCCAATGATTGAGGCCGTAGTCTTAGAGACATTGCGGTACATTTCTCACCTTCCTCTACTATTACCCCACTCATGCTCACAATCAACCACAATTGGTGGATACAACATACAGAAAAACAATGTAGTTAGTATACCTTTTTCATAGCATTACAATGTTTTTGGCCTTCTTTCCCTTTTATCTGTCAAAATGTATAATTCTCGCGACTAGCTCAAATACCTTTTTTCCAAACCCGTTGAAGAAACCTTAGAGAGATTTAAATTGCTATCTCTTACCAAAGAAATCATTTTTCGGCGGTTGTCTTTCTTCCATTCCTACAGGATTTTTTCCCAAATGCAATAGTGATATTCTTTAGGAATAAAAGATTGAAAAATTTCCAAAGTGCACACAAAAACACATGTGGAGAGTTTTTTTTTTCTCTCTTTAATCTGCTATCTTAAAATGTTACTTACCTTGTGTTCCTTACGTATTTTCTACTAAATATATGACAAATTGTTCCCAAATTTTGTTTTAGTAGTGCTCTTAAGTCTGAAATTGAGACCATTGAAATTGATATTTCGTTTTGTATCAAAACATTGAACAGATTTTTGCAAACAGTTGGACATTACATCACAGTGAAAGATATTGGAAAGAACCATTTTGTTTCGTACCTGAGCGCTTTTTGGATTCTGATGGTCAATTGTTACCTGCCTTTCACCCAGTCAGGAAGAGGTATTATATACTTAGTTATTTGGATCTATCTACAAAAGTATACAGCTGAGACTAATATATGTGGTAAATATCTATGATTAAGTGTACATCTGCAGTTTGAAAGTCTGAGGTAGAGTGGAAGGCAGTTATTTCTAACAAAACGGTTATTTTATCAAAAGAATTTCAAACGCTAACAGTAATCTCTGCAAATCAGTGAAATACAGGTACTGGTAATATACACGCGTCTTTTTATATATTAAAAGAAAGTAATAAGAAACAAATTTTGAAGGAGATGTCAGTTTACTTTTGCATGAATGGTTTAAAAGAGTGAAATTGTCGTAACTCTTAAAAATCCCTACAAAATATTTCATTTTAAGACATTTTTTTCCGTTAACGAACTTTTGGGAAATTTAAAATGTAATTAATTAATCACAAGGATGTATAATGTACAAGAACAATGTTTATCACTGGTGATTCTAGAACATTCAATTCGTCGTAATTTCAATTGTTGTTCATATTTTCTAGGCTTGCAGTGTTTGGATTTGGAAAGAGGAGTTGTATAGGAGAAGTATTTGCAAAATCCCGTATTTTCCTCTTTTTATCTACTCTGTTACAAACAACAACGATTGCAGAACCTAAAGACAAGGCCTTACTTGATTTTGACCCCAAACAAATGATCACTGGATTAGTTCTGCAACCCAAATCCTTCGAAGTGCGGTTTTTATTGCGATCAAAATCGAATGTGTCCAGCTGATACTGTGAACGAATTTAAAAATACTGTAGATTCCCAAATATACGCGTGGAATTAATTATCGTGTAATTTCGCGAGAAGCACCACTTGCGAAATAAAATTACTCGCTTTTATTTTTGTGGTGCTGAAATCAATAAAATCTCTTGATCAACTGTCCATTAGCAAATTATTATTCTCGTGATTTGACGTTGAAGAGCCCATTCGCGATAATAAGTACTCGCGAGAAATAAGGAATCTACAGTATGTAGTAAAAAACAGAAAACCAGAAAATTAGAAAACTGTCGGATAAGTATATTTAGGGTTCTTTAAACAAAGAAAAGGGATTACTTTTAAGGTGAAAAATGATTGCAATGAAATTGCAAAGTACTTTTCTTTATCTAGTTATAAAAGTACGAAATATTAGGCTCAAGATCATCAACGCCATTCCATTGCTTGAATGAGTTACATGTATTATAAGAACTCTTTTTTAGAAAAAATATTAAGAAATTGTATATATTACGATAAATATTCCTTGTAAACTTTAAATAAACATATACTCTTGAATTCCACATGCATAATTTAAATGAACAAAGTTACAAAACATATCTTTGTTTATATCTTCTTATCGCAGGTATTTGAAAAAAGTGTCTTTTTAAGAACCTTTCACTATTATTTATTGTTGATTGATGTGTAAATTATAAACTGTACGCTCAAGCAGTGGTATTTAGACATAAACAAATATCTAAGTAATTGGCACATTTTATATTTGTTTAATCTCTCTCTGTAAAAAAAAAATCTGTTTTCGTGTAAAATACAATGCTTTAGAGCTACATGTATGAAACAATATAAGCCTTATACATTGATCATGTAGGCAGTACATATGCCAACATATTTATAAATTAAACATATTAAAGTATGTCACTCGTCAGCTTTTTAGAAAAGTTCAGTCAGAACCTTTAACTTCAAAACTGCTTGTTACAATTCAATCTTTATAACATATTTAAATTAAACAATGCAAATTATTCAGCATTCAATTAAAAAATTCCTCATAAAGAAGAAAGATTTATGAGGAATTACAGGGACGTAGCTTGACTTTGAATTCTAGTGAGGCAAAACCATGCATAGCAGCAAGTGGGAAGCTATATATGATATATGATGATACTACATATTGTAAAAGAATTTAAGAGTTAATAAATATGTTTACTGAAACTTTTAAGACATTTTAAAAAGATGAAAATGCATCTTATTAAACTTTGTTTTTATTTCTTTAAAACTTAAATTCACCATTATATAACTGCTTAAATGTTAAGAGAAATGCCATTAATTTTACGTAATTTCTGCAATGTATTCTTGATTATGTGAAGAGGTGGTGGTGGTGAAAAATCTGGTGAGGAAATTGCCTCATTGCCACAATGGAAGCTACGCCCCTGGACTATTTCTTGTGGTGGAAGGATATTTAGAAGAAAATTCTTCAAATCTACACATTTGTTCAAAGGATGACTGCACTTAACGCCTGTTTTTGGGTCTTTTTCGGTTGCTTCTGTTGTTTTCATATCTAAACCTTATTTCACTTTTGTATGTTTATGAAAGAAAACTGTCAATTTGGAACCACATTTATATCTTAAAATGATTTTAGACTGTGATGCAATAAAATGATTCAATGTTTTTGTCCTTAATGCTTTCCAAATATAGTGATTTTACACTTACCTGCCCTTGGTTGAACATTAGATATGCATGAGAGGTGGAGCTAACATTGTAAGAATGGGTCTAAAATTAGACTTGATAAATAACAATGACATGTTTGGAAAAACGAATGTGATCACTCTTTCCAATCTCCCTCTCCATTCTATATGGCACAAATACACTTCTGACAAAGGTCTCAAAACGAAATTAACAATATGGGCACATCAATGTAATTAAAGCAGATTTTATATCAATGCCAGATGACTTAACGTGTTCGAACACAGTGTCCTAGTTAGCACAAAACATGCTACCTTATAAGTCACGTGACGGAATTTAGTATTCACAAAGTTACTTGAGGTAAGAAATCACGTGGTGAATTATAATATTCAACATGTCACAATCCTTGGTTACAACACAGAGAGCGAATGTAAGAAGAAGCATTTTTTTTTTTTTAACCATGAGCGCATGTTTGTCTTTTAATCTCCTTTTGATACATTATTATTTATGCAAATATACAACTACTGTTACACGTATAGTAGAACAATAGACAAACATGCGCTGACTATGTATAAGGTCAGTAAAAAAGTGGGCGTCCTCATTATCGAACGGAGATTCAAGAAATTGTGATGACCCCTGCCTTTGAAAACAGATTCGAACATCGTAAATACACACTTTTATTAAACGTAATTACATAAAGTTGTAGATTGGATGTTGACCATTCTTGCAATGAAAAAAAATGCTTGCTTTGAAAGTTTATTTTGTCGCAAATTCCACATGTCCTTAAGTGCAGTCATCCTTTAATATCTTGGAACTTCAGCTCCACATATATTTACTTGGAGAATATTTTCCGTTATGATATGCTAGGAATATTAAATATATGTCCCAATTTATATTTTTAGAACAAATTTTACACATTCATTCAACAGACTTTGCCAAGAAATGAAGATTTATTAAAGAAGTCAAGATAAAATTTACACCGTTTTTTGCCTGAAAGTCGCACATTTTGACCAATATCTCAAAATGTACATAACTTTTTCTTTCATTATTTTAAACAACACGATACTTCCAACCGATCTGCACTTAAGTCATATAAAGTTTGATACAAGAAAATATTTTATGTCTATTTATATTTTTTATACCCCAAATATGATACTTTTTTAGTGCAAAAAGGTCATACAATAATTTATTCGCATCAATTTGCATGATTTGTTTAATGATAAATAATATTCAAACTATTTTACGTAAAATAAGATAATGTTCATGCCATAATTACATCTGATAAAATATGATAAAGATTAAAGTGATTAACCAAAGAATTACTAACAATATAACTGCAAAAAGGTCAACTTAATTGCACCGTAGCTCAGTAAGATGCACACTGACCCCCATTTTCTTTGCGATTTTAGCTATGCTATATGACTACTTATCTAAAATATACTTCTCAAAAAATCCTTGATATAACACATTTCACGAGTGACATACCTTAAATTTAGAGGGGAAAAACCCACCTCGTAGCGAATATTTTTTAAAGATTGTTTTATATCATATCACATTTTCTCTTGTAATGGAGTGAACCATTATGCTTAATTTAAGTCAAAAATCATTCATTTTAGAGGAAATTAAATAAATGAAAATAAATCATAGAAATATTTGTATTTAATAAAACCCTTATGCTTGATTTTTTTTAATGAGGCAATTGCCAGTAAATATAATTTGCAATATATTTGGCAATTTTAAAAAAAAATCTTCCTGACAAGTCTTTCATGAATTAAATTTCAAAAAATGTATATTCTATTCATGAATATGAAATTTGTTTAACACTTAATTAAATAGAACAAAATCATCGGCTATCATTAAATATCAGTCTTTCGCACATTTAAATAACGAAAATGTCAAAGTTCGGGCCCTATTTTAGTAAACGAATTTCGTGTTCCAAAACCTCCTTCTTCCCTATGATGTTAAGGTGACAAGATACGCCAGTATTTAATTATATCCTCATTAACTCAAGATCCGTCATCTCACTTCCTTGTTCATCGAATATACATGACTGTAGGTATTCTGTTTAATATCAATAGTTTCCTGTTTCCTTTCCCGTAGAGTTGCATACAACAGACAGTAGAAATATTGAATTTACGATTGTTAGTAACTTTGGGTGTTTATCTATAGAGGTAAGAACATATTCAGTTAACATTTTGTAAATTACTCTTTAAAAGATCTAAATGCAAGCTAAGGAATCAAAGTGAACAATCTAATAATCACTCATATTTGAAATCATGTAAGGAATTTTTTTCAAAGTCAATCGAATTGCTGTCGGTGTTAATTAAGAAGTTACACTTGAATTTCAATAAAAAGAAGAAGTGATCTGATGAGTTCAGAATGGAATACTATATACACGTACACTGCAAACACTTTTAAGGTTTCAAGTTAATGTATGAGATGAAGGGATGCAAAGAGCGCAAACGGATTCCTAAAACAAAACTGTCTTCATGATGTACAGATACCGAAACAACTATGGTAGACCTGATTCTATATAGTGAGCGAGTCCTGGAATTATTGGACAATTTTTCTGGAAATCAATTATGCCTCAACGTGTCAGAGAAGAATTAAGTCTGGGAAATTTAAAAACAAATAGAGCGAAACCAAAAGACTTTGCCACGTCAAAAGTACGTACATGTATCACTTATTAGTGGAAAGCCATACATATCCTCTAGACAATGTTGAAACTATTGAAAAGATTTTCTTTCAGCATACTTTTTGCTATTGAGGACCCTCCTATCTTCCTTTCCCTTCTTGAGATTTTTTTTCTTGTTTGGATAATGGTAGCTAGTACAAATCAATATCAAATTTCTGGATCCAGTATTGCTTACGGTTGTTTAATATAAATGAAGTGTAAACGAAATTTGATATATATTTGTTAGTGGCTTTGGTTTCTGTTTTGTGTTTTTTTCTCTCTCAATATTTTGCAGATAGGGTCAAAGTATTTATATCCAATATGGTCGACTACCTGGAGCATCTTTCACTTTACAAACCTTATATTGATGCCATACTATAGGATAATCCAGGCACCCTATCCTGAACCTTGGCCGTTGAACCTCTCAAACTGGACATATCTCGCGCTTGTCTCAGCATCTCTGATTGACTGTTTGACTTCTAACTTTGTCTTTATTAAAAGAAAAAATCTTCTTGAGGTTGTAGCAGGTGTGTAATTTTGTAAGTTGACATTTTATGTCTTTGAACAACTGATTTATCAACGAATTGTTCAGGCATATTAGATACCTAAATTCCATAACATATTTTGAAATTCATATATATTTACAGGACACCTTATTTCACTGATATCC